ATACTAGATCGCATAGCACGCTTCAACTCCATGGATCTTGACGAGACGCAGTATGCCAACCACGATGGACAATATCTATTGAAGGTTTTGCGCATTCCAAAGAATCTTCGTTAACCCTTAGCACTCTACACAGTTTTCTGATCTATCAGCAACTACTACCGATTTTGATAGTAGTCCTACTGAAAATTAACCATGTTACTTCTTAGACCTTTAACCCTTTGCACTCCGTAGGGTCTCAGTCGCCAATTGATTTGACAGCAAAGTTATAGAGTTTGACATTTAATATGAAACTTTGTACAATGCGTCGACGTGTGAAATATTAAAATAAAACAGCCTCTCTCTTTAATTTATATACGATTTCTCGTTAAGTCTACTCAATTCAAACTTTGTATATTTGGAAGATCTAATAATCTTAAGGTATTCTTAAAATTCATTGAAATATTTCATATTAGAACTGGTGCAATATTATGCTACAAAGTTCAAAGGGTTAAGTTGTCAGATACGTCTGTCGTCTTGCCTCGCTTGGAATTCGCACATTTCACTTTGCAATGCTTATTACCAAAGAATATTCTATAAAATAAACGTATCCCATATTCCACTATACACAGTATTGCATCAGTGGATCGCATAAAATCCGTCGAGAGGAAAATTTCTTTGAAACTTTTACCCCGAGATCGCGATCACCGGTGGGAGACGTAATTCCCGGTAAATGGGTTAACTTTCGTCCAAGAAACCGGGGGGAGCAGCTTTTTCTAATCCAGTGGCATAATCTAACGCACCGTATCCGGTCGGTCGGCGATTAAGATAATTACCGCTACACGGCCACACGAAAAATATGGGAGTCGTGGAACCGCGACTACCGACGGAGTCGAATAATGATGGGACACGAAATGGAACAGTCGTGAGAAGATCTATCGGCTCCGTCTACCGTGCATTGTGGAGAGATCCGCGGCAGAAAAAAAAAATCCTATCGGAACCCTATGCAACGGCCCGACGTTAATTACACCCGGTGAATAAAACTACACGGATCTGGGAATAGGAGAATGGCTGGTTAATTGCAGCTACTTTCGACGGCGATCGGTGTTTACGTATTGAACGCACTCGCGGTATTACGTAAATAATGCCGCTCGATAATGAATGAATTCATAAACGAGTCGTTGAACGTCGGGACGTTCCCTCGATCGCGATCTTCTGCGGTTTAAGATCACGATCTTCGACTGTGCGAATCGTACGGTGGAATTGTGGGTCATTCGTTGGCCCAATAGATCAACTGCGCAAAATAAGACACGGGGAAATGGACACAGTATACCGATTTCTCGAATGTTCCTTTAACCCATTCGAGAACGATTGCATTCCGTGTGTGTAAAATAATAATAATGAGCATTTATCGGTTATTCTGAGTAGTCGTCGAGATAAGACTTTTTTTTAATTAATAGTATCTGTAAAGAAAATTTCGCTGCCGGGGACCGTGTTCAAGAAAAATCGTCGTCCCGAATGGGTTAACCGGTTGCTGTGATTTAACAAGTCTGACTGGCGATGAGAATTTTCGACTAAATAGAAATGTCACAAATCAAACGAGATAGGACGTGTATTTTATTTTATTGTCGGAGGTTAGATTTAAGTCGACGCACCTGTGAAATGTATGAAACAGTGCATCCTTAATAATATTGCACCAGGTATGATATTAAATATTCCAACGGCTCAAAGAAACTACCTTAAGATTATTCGATTTTCCACGCATCCAAATTTTGTACTAACAAGGAAAATAAAATATCGAAGGAATGTTACAGCATTTTTCATTTTCACCAGAGTTACCATAAAAACTAGTCGCAGTTGCTGATAAATTACAAAACCGTCTGGAGTGCTAAGGGTTAACCCTTTGAACTCTGCAGGCTGCAATATTGCACCAGGAATAATATGAAATATTTGACGGAATTTTAAGAAAGCTATCCTAAAATTATTCGATTTTCTACACATCCAAATGTTGGTGGTCCTCGTCGGTCGATAAAGAAGGGTTATGAAACAAATGATCCACAGGCGCAGTGACGTAAAAGAACATGTGTGAATCGAATAAAAATATGTTTAATCGATCGAATCGGATGAATTCTCGATGAAACTGAGATTTATGGGACCTGCGATGAATTTCGTAGGTGAATTCTGCGAGCAGCTAGGAAACGGAATCCCGAGAGAAAGAACACGAGGAAACGAAACGACGGTAGGATCGCGAGGTCATCGTCTGAGAATCAAGTGTACGGCCGATCGATACGCGGACGGAATCTCGGCTCGTTCGGAGAGCAAGGGGAGCGTTCGAGGATGACGGAGGTATCATCGACGGGAATTCATTTCACTATCTAAATTAGCAGACCGGAAGAAAGACTGCGAGTTCCGTTTCGCTGAAAACGAAACGCGCTCTCCTCGCCTACTGGCGAAACATGCGTGCACACGTGCGAAATATTCGGCACGCAGTCTACGGAAGGAATATTCCGTGACTGTAAATAATTGTATCGGGTTTCTTAATAAATCCGGAAAAGTGTATCGTGAAATATTCAAAAGTATAAGAAATATTCTGTGAGTATAAATAAATTACGATTTCTTGATAAATCGAGAAAGTATATCGAGAGATATTAAAAACTATAAGAAATATTCCGTGAGTGTAAATAAATTACGATTTCTCAATAAATCGAGACAGCGTACCAATAAATAATTATCAATATCGAAAGAAAGAAATGATTTTCCTTAAAGTCCATTTCGAATTTGAAATGCAAGGTGGTGAATAGTCGAGCTGTATTAATCGTCGAACAGATATCGATAGTTCTGTCAACAATCGAACGAATAATTCGATGTATCATCGATATTAATTAGACACCTATCGTTTCGAAGAGTATCGAAGATTCCTGTTCAGTAGCCCAACTTGAATCAGTAACTCTAAATACGCGTATCGATCCGACCCTAAACCATTCGGTTCCACGGATATGGACTTCTGAATTGAAACGAATCCAAGTTGCAACCACCTACAAACCTTAATGCAACCATGCGACAGTGAAATCGATAATCACGAGGAACTCGTGCGGTTTCTTAGCCAACTAAATACGATTCTATCCGGGTTAGTTATGTCGATAATCGAAATTTTAATCGGTACCTAAAATCGATTAACAAACGGGATGCCTCGAGATCTCGAGAGAACAATCTTCGGAATCGATACTAATCGAGAAACTATTTATCAGAGATTACTAATCGATAAACAAAATACGCGAGACACCGTTGCATCGACGTGCAAAAAATTTATTTCAAAAATGTTCCAAATCCTTTCGATCGTCAAAAATCCTATTTCCTTCTAAGTTACACGCAACGCTAGTCATAAATTCTCATTTGTCACGACTAGATTTTTTTTTTTAATATTTCCTTGCATAATAGAAAAATGTTCCTCGAGCGATTTAAACGCAGACTTCGATGTTCCGAAATTCACCGGGAATTAGTGGGTCCATTTTCAAAATTAACGGCGCACGTATAGCAGGGAGCAAATTGTTCCCCGTCACGTTCGAAATACAATAGAAATCAGGGTCTATAATAACAGTAAGCATGGTAGTAACCGGAACAAGTGTACGATAACCGTGACGAGCACCGACACACGACGACTTCCAAAGCGGATTCATTTGCCTACGGCTTTCGAATAAACAGTTTTTTTTCCTCCCGGGGAATGTACGTTACGCGAACGAGCGAATTCCAATTTGAACGTCGATGTTTGCGAATCGATTACCTCGCACTTTGTACGTGCGATGTGTGTATCGTTGGCAGGCAACTCGGCGCGGCCACGAAAACGCGGCGAGACTACTTTCGCGAGAGGCATCTGTTATCAGTAAGATTCCCGGCGCGCAACAACTTTCACCGTTACTTAACTAACGATTCCTAATTAATCCCGGGGATCGACAAAAAGATACTAACGTTCACAAATTTATGTGGGGCCGGGTGACGTAACCTCTCGGCAATAACGTAACCCGAAGTACCCAACGTGGTCTGCCGTAATTACGCTCGACGCGGCTAATAAATAAAAACGAAAAAAAGAAAGAAAAGAAAATAAAGAGAGAGAGAGAGGG